TGTATATGTATGTATATGTATATATATGTATATATATGTATAAGTATATATATATGTATATATATATATGTATATATATATATGTATAAGTATATATATATGTATATATATGTATATGTATATGTATATATGTATATGTATATGTATATATGTATATGTGTATATGTATATGTGTATATGTATATGTATATATGTATATGTATATGTATATATGTATATGTATATGTATATATATATGTATATATATATGTATATGTATGTATATGTATGTATGTATGTATATATATATATGTATGTATATGTATGTATATATATGTATGTATGTATATGTATGTATATGTATGTATATATATGTATGTATATGTATGTATATATGTATATATGTATATGTGTATGTATATGTGTATGTATATGTGTATATATATGTGTAGGTGTGTATATATATGTGTGTATGTGTGTATATATATGTGTTATGTGTATATATAAATGTGTGTATGTGTATATATATATATGTGTTTATGTGTAAATATATGTGTATATGTATATATATATATATGTGTGTATGTGTAAATATATGTGTATATGTATATATATATATATGTATATATGTATATTTGTATGTATATATATATGTATATATGTGTATGTACATATATGTGTATATGTATATATGTATATGCATATATATATATATTTGTATATATATATGTATATGTATATATATATATATATATATATATATATATATATATAGCCCTATGTATATGAGAGTGTGTGTGTTCGTGTGTGTGTTCGTGTGTGTGTATGTTCTGAACCGTGGAGATCTCTAGGCCCTAGTATCAATTCCCATCGCTGCTCTCCTTGTGTTTCAGTTAGAGGACTGAAATGCAAGTTACAATAGCGCACCGTCTCTCGGATTTTATTATTATTATTCTTATTCTTTATTGCCAGAAACAAAACAAAAACAAACGCATGAGGTCAACTCAGGGAGAAGGCAGGAATTAAAAAGTGAACTAAATCACTGTAACTAAAGTTAAGATTCCATACTCCCAAAGTTATTGAACGCAATACATTATTCGGAAGAGAGTAGTGGATTTTCTTTCGGTGTACTGCCCAATCACTTTCGTGGGTTATCCTTGGTGTTTACACCGAATAAATCCATCCAACCATCCATAAATGGTGTAGATAAGAATACTTTTTTATTAATCATGTTAACATTAGGCCTATTTATTTTTAAAGCCCATGACCTTATAGATCGTAAACTCAATGAGCTGGCGGAAAAAGTCAGCAACAATGATGAAGTCGACGATGGAAGTTTCTTGGCGTATATTTTCACCTAAAACAAGTTGAGCGAAGAGGAAATATATGGCAGTATGACGGAACTGTTATCCGCAGCCGTAGATACGGTTAGTGATCCTCGGGTGCTGCATTTTAACACGGGGCGGATCCAGCCCAGTAATTAATAGAGAGGGAGCGTGAATATGCGAGCTGAGCGAGAGTTTCAGGGAAGAGCCCCTGGTTTCAATGAGGAGAGAATTACTCTTAAACCTCTAGTACTTTCACAGTGGCGAATCTGGGATTTAGCAAATTGGGGGGGGGGGGGGGGTGGTTTGGTAGTGTGGACAATGGAAAGAAGGGGAGTAGTTTTGGGAAGGGCGTCCACTCGAATTTGAAATTTCTTCAGAATTAGTAGGTTGTAGTACGGTCTTAGATGGTGTCTAAAAAGAAGCAACCTCAAAATAGAAAGTGTATGTTTTATTAGAGTACATGATAAACACACACAAGACGAATGACCATTATATTTTTTTTATTATTATTTATTTATTTTTTCACTGTAAATGAAGGGGATCCGCCACTGCATTTGAGTTTGTGTTTGATTGATTTTAACTATTTAGCATATGCTAGTTGTCTGATATTTTTTACAGAATATTTATTTTTACACTGTCCTATTGCCCATGAACACAAGTAATGCTATTTAATACTGTATCATTATGTCCAATTTAACGTTTAGCACAAGGGCCAAAATATATGCAAAACTCAGACTCAGAAGTACTATGACTCGGATCCTAATAGGTGGCAATCCCTTTAAGACAAATATATTCTACAAGTCTCATTTCCAGGCTAATGTAATGTCGCTTTTGGCCTTGAGAAAAGTCTTGTTAATACCGTTTACAATTAAGCAACTATGTAGTTAAAGTTCTTGAATGTGTGTAGTATAATTTCATTAAATGTTTGAAATATTTTTACACCGACTGGTGCCTGTGTATTTAGAGTGTATCAACAATGTGCAACAGCGCTGGGAGCGTTCATTATGTTAACATGTTAATAACATCTCAGAAAATTTAAGTAAACTGTGTGCTTGGTGATTACATATATTGGTTTCTTTAATTATATCCTTTTTCAGTGGTAAGATGGCTTTGTCGAGGTGACTGTTCACCTGTTTTGTTGTTGCCATACTGTTTTGTTTGTTGTGTGTTTTTGTTCTAATGAAAGTTGAATGAAATATTTAAAAATAATAGGCCTATTATTAGTGGGCCCCACAACATGCCAAAAGTGTTAAATACCAGTTTCCATAAAATCACTTGCTCATCCTATCGGCGACAGTCGCCAACAGTTATCGGCGGGAAGGTTGAAACTATAGTTCAACTTTGTCGATTGCATTGCAGAAGAATCAGGGTGCATTGCTATCTGCCCTGACGCAATCGGGAAGGCACATTTCGACCAAGCTTTAGTCGACACAGGCCTGATAGCAAACAGCCAAATCACAGTAACATGACTGTTGTGTGTCCAATTCTCCAGTAAAGCTCTGTCTACTTATCAAATTTTCTTTGACAAAAACACAGCTGTATGTCCATATATAATCATGGTGTGCCTATATATAGTCATGATATGTCATCATGGCCATATTTAGGCATGTCCAGGGGTGGATCCAGTAGGGGAACTAGGGCACGTTCCCCCTCCCCGTTTTGCCACTAAATTAAAAAAAGTTTCAATGCAAATCAATTTTATGTGCTACTCACTTAACAATTTTGATTCTGTACTCTCCGTTTGAAAAATTCTGGATCCGACCCTGATGTCAAATGTGTTTGTCAATTTGATAGTCTGGACAGGGCTAAAGCTAGGATATCTTGAAGTTGACCTACTTAAAATTTAAAATGGGTCAAAGCTTGGTATGATAACTAGAGCTTGGTTTGATAACTAGAGCTTGGTTTGATAACTAGAGCTTGGTTTTCTTAAAAATGCTAGGCCTACACTGTTGCTATAGTGTTTTCGGTGGCCAGTGGCGGCACCAGCAGGGGGCAGGGGGGCTTAAGCCCCCATCAGTTTGGTCAAGTCGCACCCCCCCCCCTCTTCATCGACCAAAGATCGTCGGGCAGACGGACCAACAAAATTTAAGAAATAGGTCTAATTTTTTAATCCAAGCCATTTCCGGCCATCTAGAAGTCGGTCATCTTAGCCCCCACCCCCATACATTATATACTAGAGCCGCCACTGTGTTGTACTGGGTAGACGCAACCGAGAAGGCTATCCGATTCGACCGGCCAATCAGCATCACCTAAAGCTGTCGGCGATGTGTGTAGTGTTTGTATGGAAATAAACTTAAGACAGCAAATATGTCAATACATGTTTGCTGTCTTAAGTTTAATTTAATACATGTTTGCTGTCTTAAATCAAGCCTACGACAGCAAACATGTATTGACAGGAAGAATTTAAATCAGAGTCGTTATGAACCAAATATTTTGATCAGGTACAGCAGTTAAAAGTCCTTGGCTGAACCAAAATATTATAGTGGATATTGGAGAGTTTTGTCATATTGGCTTACAATAAAATGTCTTTGCATTTTAAAAGTAAACTCTCCTTTCGAAAAAAGTATTGGAAAAGCTGATCACCCTCAATCTAATTTTAACATTATTTATGTATTCATTTCATTTCTATTAACCTAACTTGAAATTTTGTGTCAATCGTTTTCTTTTGAACCATCTAAACAGTGAGTGGCCCTCGGCCATGATTTGTGTGACCGAACATATAAGAAATATGAAAGAAAGAAAATAAAGTGGTAATTGCGTTTGCAATAGGCTCTGAATTGGACCTGTTTTTGTTTTTGTTTTTGTTTTGTTTTGTTTTTTTTTTGTCAAATATATACATATTATGTTAAGTATTGTTTTTCTGTTTTTTTCTCTCAGACTTCGAACTCGGTTTTATGGGCTTTGTACTGCCTTGCAAGGAATCCTGAATGTTAAGAGCGTTTATACGAAGAGGTGACGCGTGTGATTCCAGAAGGCGTTTCACCAACAAAAGATCACTTCAATGAAATGAAATATCTTCATGCGGTGATGCAAGAAACCCAGAGGTTTGTAAATTTACTTTATGTTAGTTTTATTTTATTATGATTACCAATATGTCTTTTGAAGTTATAATCATTATCCTCGTCGTCGCTGTCGTCCTTGTTGTCGTCATCGTCATAACCATTTTAATGTTCTTACTTCTAAATATGCTGTACATTGAGGGTTATAATCATTTTCCTAAACGAAAAGCTTAGTCCCGTAACATGAATACTATCAACTTCTCTTTCTATGTACTTATATTTTGCAGATTATATCCCGTAGCATTAGGAGTAGGAAGAAAAGTTACCGAAGATATGGAAATCGGTGGCTATAAAATACCAGCCGGGGTAGTATAAAAAAATGTCAAATACAATTCCAAACATACATTACTGGGACTTATTGTTTCATAATCAAGAGTGGAATGGATTACAATGACGCATGCTTTGTTTTTGTAGATCAATAGGATAGGCCACAGCACTATCAATCTCATTGAGTTAATTGTTTGTGAACACAAACATGTTATATACAGTAAAGGTCTAAACGAATGAATGAATGAATGAATGAATGAATGAATGAAGAAAGGAAGAAGGATTAATTAATTAATAAATTTCAATCAATCAATCAATCAATCAATCAATTAATCGATCAATCAATCAATCAATCAATCATTCAATCAATCGATTTTTAATTTATTTATTTATTTATTAATTAATTAATTAATTAATTAATTAATCGATTTTTTATTTATTTATTTATTTATTTATTTATTTAATTATTTAATTATTTAATTATTTAATTATTTATTTATTTATTTATTTATTTATTTATTTATTAAATTATTTATTTATTTATTTATTTATTTATTTATTTAATTATTTAATTAATTATTTAATTAATTATTTATTTAATTAATTATTTAATTAATTATTTAATTAATTATTTAATTAATTATTTATTTAGTTATTTATTTAGTTATTTATTTAGTTATTTATTTAGTTATTTATTTAGTTATTTATTTAGTAATTTATTTAGTAATTTATTTAGTAATTAATTTAGTAATTAATTTAGTAATTAATTTAGTAATTAATTTATTAATTCATCCATCCATTCATCGATCCATTCATTCTTTTATTCATCCATAAGTTCATCCTTTCGTTCGTTCGTTATTTTCATTTATTCATTCATTTATTCTCATAATTCAATCATCCATTATTCATTCTTTCATCCAGTTAGGCTATTTATTCGCTCGTTCATTCATAGTTCAGTTTAATAAATTCATTCGTTCTTTCAGTCATTCATGCAGGTGTTTGGTAGTTCAATTCCTTTATGCATTCTTTCTTTCTTTTTCTTTCATTCATCTATCCAATAATTCATCCCTATCCATCATCTATCCATCCGTCCGTTTGTTTGTCCATCCGTCCGTCCGTCCATCTATCCATTCATTTATCCATACATACATCCATCCATCCATCCATCCATCCATCCAAACATCCATCCAAACATCCATCCAAACATCCATCCATCTATTTATTATTTCATCAACAATTCATTTATTCATCCATTTATTCATTGATTTGTTTGTTAGTTCAGTTCGTTATTAATTCGGTCATTCATTTGTTCATTCGTCCACTCATTCGTTCACCCAATTGTTTGTTTGTTAACATAATTTATCCGTTCCTGTATTTATTTGTTTGATCGTTCGTTCTATCATTCATTCATGTGGCCCTTGAGAGAAGATACAATTGCGATGCGGTGTACCAAGTTTGTTTCTGTATTTGACGATTTTGAATTTTTTCAGGTGTCTGTTATTCTGGATACGTATTCGATAAGCCGTAGCTCGGAATACTTTGAAGACCCTTACAGTTTTAATCCGCAACGGTGGTTATCACGAGTGAAAGGAGAGAAACTGAACAATTTCTTGATGTTACCATTTGGCTTCGGCGTACGTAGCTGTATCGGTGAGTGTACAGTATTGCTACAAATTGAATATTTTCTACCGTGCTCAAATTTTCTTCACTCTGTGTTGTTCTTTTCTTTCATGATCAGATCTTTCCCAATTAATGTGGCAGTGACTAATAATTGAGTTTGCGAACATTTACTTGTATACCTACGCATTTTTTTTTTCCATTTTCCTAAACAAGACCATCACAAGAATGTTTTTCTTTACCTTAATTGATTATATATCGCAGGCTTATGGATATTTTATTATACACAGGTCGACGACTGGCTGAACAAGAGATGCATACGTTGCTGTCATTGGTAATGTATTTTTGACATTGTTGCGCCATCATCATCATCATCATTATCATCATCATCATCATTTTAAAGCACTCACTGCGCCCTCACTTGGTTGTTTTCAACTCAATTTCAAACTTTAATGACCGGTAATATCATTAATCTATATATAGATGTTCGAAATCTGATTATATTAAACATCAAATAAAACATGCATCAAATCATCAATGAACTACACGATAAGCTAAATCATGTTTCTTCACTGGGCAACACAGCTGTAGGCCCTATCTACTGATGAGTGAGTGGCTGTCACACACTGCCTAAATCGCCAACTCACATGTTAAACCAATCATCATCTATTGATTCTACAATAATTAACTTTATGATTAGAAAACTATTGACTATCTGTCTACTCACTCTTGAGCTCTCAATATGCAACCAAACATTAAAGGTTCATTGCGTACATTATTATCTGACGTTTCTAAATCGTCGTCTACATCAAAATTACGCGCTCTGGTGATACTGTATTAAAATGAAATAGAGGGTGCAATTGCCATATATCGTGAACGATACAATCATCATCACCACCACCACCATCATCATCCTCATCCTCATCATTATCATCTGTCATCAACATTTTCATTTTCATTAATAGTAACAACACCAAAACAACAACTACGAGGATGTTGATGATAAAGATGATATTATTAATAAAAATATATAAAAAAGATACTATTATTGCTATTATTATTATTATTATTATTATTATTATTATTATTATTATTATTATTATTATTATTATTATTATTATTATTATTATTATTATTATTATTATTATTATTATTATTAATAATATTATTATTTTTATTATTATTATTATTATTATTATTATTATTATTATTATTATTATTATTATTGTTATTATTGTTATTGTTATTATTACCCAGTCAGCAGCATGCTCACTGGGTTCTGTTTCCTAGCAGTTTCTTTCTTTCTTTCTTTACCCAGTCAGCAGCTAGCTGGGTTCTGTTTCTTAGCAATTTCTTCTTTCTTTCTTTCTTTCTTTCTTTCTTTCTTGGACCAAATTCAATCAAATTTCGTCATTAAGAACCGGTGACACCTCCTACACCCCAGTGTGGGATTAGGGGTCACATAGGGGTCATCGGGGTTAAATTTTCAAAATAGCCCAATCGAGCTTAAATTTACCAGTAATGATCTTTAGGACCTCCTAAACACGAAAAAAATTATCTTCACCCATATGTCAAAGTTCATAGGTCAAAGGTTCAAAATGTTACTAATGGCAAACGATTGAACCGAATTCAATCAAATTTGATCATTAAGAACCAGTGACACCTCCTATACCCCTGTATGGCATCAGTGGTTACATAGGGTCAAATTTTCAAAATAGCCCAATTGAGCTCGAATTTACCTGGAATGATCCTTATGACCTTCTAAACATGAAAAACTACTCTTCACCTATATGTCACAAGGGTCACTATAGTGAAAATTATCAAATATTGCTAGTGACTAACGATTGAACCAATTGCATTAGACAGACTCCTACCAAACATGGGGAGTTATTATTATTATTATTATTATTATTAGTTATTATTATTACCATTATTATTACTATAAATTATTATTATTATTAGTTACTATTATTACCATTATTATTGCTATAAATTATTATTATTATTATTAGTTATTATTATTATTACTATTATTATTACTATAAATTATTATTATTATTAATTATTAATTACTATTATTATTATTTATTATTATTATTTATTGTTATTATTATCATCATTATCATCATCATTATCATTACCATTATTGATTATTCTTTCACAATTTTATATTTAGTTGAGGACATTGCTGTGGTTATGTCAATATCATTAGTAAATCTTCTACACACTGCGCTTTTAGTCGGTAATTTTGTCTATGGGAGAGAATTGTTGTACGATGGAATCACGTATATTGGTTACCGTTTTTGTAAAGCTAATAAACCTCCTTGTGATGATAATTGAATTTTATACCATCTTTTTTCCCTATTTTTTCGATTTTATATATATATATATATATATATTTTATATATCGTACTTGCAGATGATTAGAAACTTTCGCCTGGAAATAATCAAGGAAGTTAAGCCTACATCACGCAGTATTTTGGTGCCTGATCAGCCGCTGGATCTCCGTCTAATAGATAGAAATTAAACAGGCTTAAAGCCTGGTCTTGTCTCATACATAGGCAAGAAAAAATATAACTACAGTCTGTATCAGTTACTCTAGCAATTTGTTTAATCAGAATTTCAACAGGAGCTCATCAGTCAAAAATTATAAAAAACTTCATATTTCAATTATGTATATAGCATCTATAATCTTTTTAGGCCTACTATAACGTCATTTGTTTTTAATAGTAGCATGGAGGTCTCCGTGATCGTAGGCTTATCCACATCAATGTGAAAAGAATTGCTCCTATTTACTCTGTTTTACATTACTTTTTTTGTATATTGTATTTTGTCATTATAATGTGATATCATCTACCAAGTATAAACACATTTTTGTAATGATAATATTTAGACCTAGATCAATTAAAGTTCTTGAATCATATATCTTGAAATTACTCATATATCCTTGAAGGTTTTTAATACTTTAAAGCAACTTAGAGAGTATAGATAAACATAATTCATTTATAAGAACACAATATACATTAATTAAATATTTAGAATTTTTACTTAACCAATTTCATTCGCATTTTAGAAAATTAGAAGATAATAAAAAAAAAACACAGGTAGTTATATTTATATACTACGGTAATGGTCGAAGTGTAAGCACATCATAAACGTGAAAACGAAAGGGACCAAGAACCGAATACTTATCTTAAACTTACAGAAATGCAAATCCAACTTTTTAGTCTAAGAATTCTACGTTATAATCATTTTGTACATTCATTAAAGTAAAGACTAAAATGAAAATCCTGGATCATTTGCACTAAAAATGTCTAAGGAAAAATAAACGTGCTTTCGAGATTGTGCAAGGTATAGGCAATAAATATAGGCCTATTCCGACTTATGTGTCACCAGGTTTTGTCTGGTTTGTTCTGTTCACTGTGTTTCGTCAATAGAGTTTAAACTTCAATTTACATTGGCCCTTCAAACAAATAATTAGGAATCATGGATATATAAATATATATGTATCAGGCATAATAAGACATCTTATGGATGGATCGGTGGAGCTGGTTGTCGAGTACGTGTCGGATCCCGTGATGCCTCCGAATCGTCCGTGGAGCGTAGACCAGTTCATCGAAAACGGTCTTCTGGAACTGCCAAAAACCGTCTCCGAAGTATTAGCCACGGGACTCGACGACGAGACGAACGACAAAGTCGACGAAGAGGATGAGGGACGTCGACATTGCCGGGGGCCCGACATTGGCAATCGCGGTCGCTCTGCTCGCGGCGGCAGGGGCGACCGTAGACTTCCCGCGGATTCCGATCGCCGTCCTAAGCACGACGTCGGTGATATCGAACGGAAGAAGGTTCACGGTGACAGATTTCATAAAGGTCGGAGAAACGTTGAGGATCGAAGGAAGACCGCCTTCTGCGACGTTGGTTCACTGTCTCCGCGGTTGCAGGCATCTGAGGGACCTTGGCCTTTGGTGCGTCCGGAGACCTCCGCCGATATGCGTAAGCTACGATCCCCCACCAAATTACGTGGTCGTCCACAACGTGACGGACGCAACTTGGAAGGTGGAGGATTGCGGTGCCCGGCCAGTCTGTGAAGCTCCGTCGTCTCCGTCCTCGACTTCGCCGTTATCGGGATTCGTCGTGCCGCCTCCCAACTCTCCCAACGCTCCGGACGTCGTTTACAACCTCACGTCACCGCACTCGTCTGCGCGAAAGTCCGAAGCTTGCCAAGTCCCCGAATACCACAGAGTTTATCATCGATACCGTCTGGTGATTTGACCCACCGACCACCAAACCGAACCGCCGACCAACAGCAGAAAGACGGCGACGCAGAGCGCCTCTCCCCTCGGCGGTACGGATTTTGGCAGACCCTCCGAAACGTGCACGTAAACTTGATCGCCTTTGGATGCTCCAACCTGCCGCACGATCTTCCATCCGCGACGTTGCATTGCGACAGCAAGCGATCGCCGTAATCCTCCAGTCTGACGAATGGTCGATACTCGTCGGTCGGCAGGTTCCCTCGAAAGCTCAGTTTGGTCACGCTCCTAGATCAACGATAGAGACCGTTCTCCACGTAATGGTCGTCGGCGCCGGGAGTGACGACGACGAAGGGGTCGAGGGCGACGACGTACCAAGTCCTATTAAGACTGGTTACCTGTCAACGTAAGAAGGCAGATTTGCTTACGACTACGTCGTTTTGACGTAACAAAATACGATTTGACAGGAAACCGATTGCGACTGATGCGTTGTGAAATCGACGTAACGCAAAGCAAAATCGTCGTAACGCAATGCTCGACAGGAAACCGACAAGTTGGATATCTGTCTGATACGTCGATTTATCACAAATCGACAGGAAACCGCGTTTCTGTCGAATATCCTTGAATGAACTCGCTTACGTTACGTTGCTAACGATTCTTATGAAAAGTTGACTCCAATTCAACTTTTCATAAGAAACGTAAGCGAAAATTTAAAATGGTATATGTATTTCGGCATTTATTGACCATACACTTATAAAATTGTTGCAAGTTTCGATGAATATGGCCTCACAACTGACTTAAAATTGATATTTCATTAAGTTTGAGTCGTTCTAATTATAATCTAGGCTAATAAACGGTTGGAAAAAAGGACACTTACCTACTGTATAATACATAGGGCTAGGTCCATACGATGTTTTCATTTGTACTGTAGGTTCTTTTCTTTCTTTCTTTTCTTTTTTTTTTTTGCTAGTAGGCCTAGTAATAACGGCGCCTCACCCCAAATTTTCTTTCAAATTTGAATGGACAGTGAAATTTTATTTTTAGAGTAGGCCTAGGCCTTATAATTCTTTTTGAACTTCTGTTTACTTATTGATTTTCAGTTGCTTCAAATCCAAAACAATGACTTAATAGTTGAACCAAAATAAGATCCGCATCTCTCTGATATTTTACCGCGCTAATTATCGGGTCCAGCAAAGAAGAAATGTAAATCTGGGTTGTTGTGGTACTGTAGCCCATGAGCATTACAATTCACTGTCCACTGATAATGATATAGACGATGCCAGAACAGAGTAAACTATTCAATTGTGGGCTGGTACTAGACTATTTTCTTTTAATTAATGCTTTTGTGTTTTGTTTTTATTTCAGCTTATTTTTAATTTTTTTAAATTTGTTTGAACTTTGGCGTTTGTATTTTAAAATGTTTAATTAAGTAAGGAAGGGGTAATTAGGACATTTTAAGCATTTCCTAATGTTAGAAGTACATTTCACTGGATTAACTTGTTGTTTATTTCATTTCATGAGACTTTCATCCAGCTAGCATTCCCAGGCTTTTCATACATTCGACCCCTTCGTAAAAATGAAGTGATCTAATTTATGTAAGACACACCTCACCTTAATTACCTCATTTTGATTGGCTAGCTTTTTGTTTGGCGAGATTTTCTCATCAGTATTCTTGATAATGATAAAATAGATTGAAACGTTAAATCTCAAAATGTCTCCCTCTCCGAGTTTTCCGTCTTTGTTTTATTTAAGACTATTAGTAGATCCTTTGCTTTAAGAATGTTTCCTTCCTCAACATTTCAACGTGTAATTTATCTTGTATGTATTTTTATGGTGATGCAAAATAAAAGAAAAAAAAACACAATGACTATAACGGGCCTATGATTTTCGATTGTACTTTTCTGTATTGTGTTCTTAATCAATATGATAGACCTCATCATGTTAAATGCAATTGACAGAATTAACCATTATTGCCCGTTTAAACTGCCTGTTTAATTTGAATTTACAGAGTATTCTTCTTTTTAACTTCTGTCTACTACTTGTGTTATATATTTATATAGAGTAGGCCTATGTAGCTATGAATTTTCTGTTACCGTAGTCCAAATCAGAATTAAAATTTTAAAAAGTGAGATCAAAATAAATTTAACAGTATAGGCCTAACTGATGACTTGCGGATTGAAACATCAGGATCAACATTACCAAGAACTGCATCTCTTTGATATTTTACCGCTCTAATTATCGGGTCCAGCAAAGTCATGGTTAGTTCGGCGGTAGTGTCCGACGAAGTCATAACAGCAAGATACCGAGATAGACAATTCAAGTTCCCGGCCCACTGGTAGCACACTATTTTCTTATTGTTTTTGTCCAATCCGTGTACAGTACGTAGCCAAGTGTATGGGAATGGGTGTATGGGCGTGGGTCTGGCAAACACTAAAAACTGCAGTGAACTTTATTTTCAAGAAAAATGCCTTCCTCTGCAGAAGTAAAATTGATGGAGACAGTTCAGTTATACAGGTGTTTATATGACAAACATATGTTGCCGCATACACACATGGAAAGAGAAAGAAAAAGAATGCCTGGGAAGCCGTGGCTAAAGAAATGGACCTGAGCGTCGAAGAATGTCAGCGTCTGTATAATATCAGGCGAACAGCATTTGCAAGGTAACAGTTACTTTTTTTTAAATATTTATATAGTATTTATAAGAAAAATAAATAAAAATCGCTCATCCCTATCCAAGTGGAATAATATAGGGTGAAATAGGAAATTGCTTGAAGTCCAGCAAAACGGTTGATTCGAACTTTCATGTTGGAGTTTAAATCCCTCTTTGATGCTTTTTAATACCATATTATTGTAATACAGTTAGTTATTGTATTTTTCTTATTATCATTAGTAAAATTACTATTATTTTTCGGCAAACAGTCGTATACATTAAAGATATTTGTTGATATAGTATACATATGTATATCTTCCTGCCAACTTATTTTAAACAATTTAATTGATGTAATTCACATTGTACTGTACTGTATATTTAAATATTATTTTATGCAATGTACTGTAGACACCTCAAGAACGTCCGCTCTACGGTTCGTAGTGGGGTCGGTAGGGATGACTTGCTACCGATCGCAGCAGAGTGGCAAAATATGCGATGGCTGATCTGCCACATAGCACATCGAAAGACCCATGAGAGTGTTGAAGAGGAGGCACGACCTGAATATGAATGTCTGTGCCTGCTCAACGAAACCGAGCAGATAGACATCATGGTTGAGCCAGACACAGAAGGTAAATCATTTTTGCATCAGGCTCATTATTACCAGTAATAATTAAATGTAATTCAATAATAATCGTATAACATACTATATAAAAAAAATAATAAATGTATTTGTACAAACAAATCTTCCATTCTTATTTCAGGCTTTGTAAGAAAAAAAAATGCTATGTTGCTATGTTTAAAATTTATTTTTCTAAGGCATTATGTTTTTTAAATATTTAATAGCTGAGGAGGAAGGGGTGGTTGTTATTTTCCCAACAGAAAATAGTAGCTAATTTGAATCTCAATAGTAAAATAGTAAATAATCTGTATCTTATCAACCATTCTCATGTTCAGTTGTACAACATGACATTTCATAAAGTGTTTCTTCTGGGGCCTGTATTCAACCAAAGGATATTTCCTTATCACTTCTGTCAATATTATATTGTATTTACATAATTTTATATTAATTTTGGTTTATACAACACTTCACTGTTTCTATGGGGTTTTTTCTGTAATAATAATATAATAGTAATTTGGATTTTTACATCAGGTGTATCAAACACAAAACTAAAAGAACAATTACTTATTGCAAGCCACATCAAATTAAAAACTTAAAACCAGCTCAATTAATTAATCCTTTCTTTTTTTCCCCTCCCTGGCAATTTTACCCTTCTCTCTTCTCTCCCTCAGAGATGTAAATATCCCTTCCCCTTTAAGACAATATAAAACTAACGTCAAATTTAACATCAAGACAAAAAAAAAATACTGTACAAAAAAAGGGGTAA